CTATAGGCCACGTGCGCTCGCCAGACAGACAGACAGAGAGAGAGAGAGAGAGACAGAAAGCAGGAAATCACCCCCCGGGGGGGTGGCCACACCGCAATCCCTTCTCCTCCATTCTCCTCTCGGGATCTTGGGCACGCACACACACGCGCCTGGCGTGAGTTTAAGCCACGGGGTCCGGGGCTCGAACCGCGGTCAACTACGTGGGAGTCCAGCGACATAGCCATTACGCTAACTGCTGGTCCCCGGGAAAGGTTTTCAGGAAGGTGTAGCTTGATTAAATGTGCTTTAGAAAAACTGCTCTGGTGGCGGGGATGAACTGGAAAGTGGTAAGATCCAGGACAAGGAAGCCATGGCAGATGAGATGGAATGCCACCCTGACCCCTCAGGACAGAGACATTCATTCATTCTTCCAGCTGCTGAAGAGTTGGTAGCAGCTGGCTATCGGGTGATGTTCATTCTAGGAACTGCTCTCGGCCAAAGGTCACACCATTCTAGGATGGGGTGGGAAGCCATCACATCCAGTGGAGGGTGGGGGAGTGGAGGGTGGCGTGGAGAACAGAGGAAACGTGTTGGTTTAAGGCTCCTCCCCCTAATCCAGTGCATCAAGCTGGGACTCCTCTGAAGGGCCACCCAGCTCCGGAGCATGCCATGGGATGTGTTTAGGTTATTCTGGCAACTGCATTGAGTTCAGCTCCACCCTCAACCCAGTCTTACTCCCTGCACTCCCCTTTCAGGGCTTATTCTCCACAGCATTCTCTTATAACCTTTTGGCATGCAAATCTCAGAGTCAATTTCCCAGAAAACATCACCTAAGATAGAAGCCAGTATGAAAACCATTGTAATGAGATCCCAAATTAGACAATGGCAGTTGAGGATGGACAAGAGCTTCTTAGGAGGGAGAATCAGGAGGACTTACTGAGACCTTGGCTGAGAAAGGAGTTGGAACATCTCCTAGGTTTCTGGGTGGATGGCAGTAATGGGGCCATTAGGGAATGCAGATGGAGAAATGGGCTTTATGAGGGCAGT